GGTCTCGGACCCAACCAGGAAATTGTAGTCAATGGCCGATGTCGGAGGGCACGCTGAAAGCCGGGAGGTGAGAGAGAGGCCCCAGGGGTTGCTCTCAATAGCAAGAAAGACGGTAGGGAGAAGATCCCCTGCCCGGCTGTGACGGAATAAGGGCGGCTCAGCCTCGAGCAGTCGCGGCTTGAGCAAAAAATGCGTACTCGAGCCAAAACGGCTACTCTGGTTCTCTCTCTCTCTCTCTTTCTTTGCCGTTTCTCGGGACAAGACTGTTTTACAGCTTGTCGGAAGATTTCGTCCTGCTTCCATCAACTCAAGTGGGACACAATGTCATCTTCATGCCGCTCGTGCAAGGCTGCCTTGCACGCTGGCAACTTCGGCGGAGGCAGGGCGGGAAACTCCTGCAGCGATGGAGCGAGTCTATGTCCCGTCGACTTTGGTCTTTCCTGGGCATCTTGCCCTGTCAAGAACCGGAGCATCTGTGAGCGCTGGGGGCTGAGACAATGCTGTGACAATCACAGCAATCTGCAGCCAACAATCCTTGTGTGGCTCACGCCAGCATGTCAGAGGCCTGCCCAGAAGAATCGACATTCTATAAGCTGTTCATTCATTAGTCTGCACATCGAGCTGAAGTTAGGCTGCAGAGGTTCGGCAAGCCCAGGACGCCTGCTCCTTTCAGGAGATCTTCTCGAGCTATGTCTTTCAGATGGTTGCTCCAGAGGATAAATCTCCAGGATTCTGTCCTTGCAGCATGAAGCACAGAGCTCGAAACAGTTCGTACGACATTCCGGCAATCAGTTTAAAGAGGCGTTCCTCGCCACTCAAGTATCTTCGGCTGGCTCGCAGCAACTTCAGCTATATGCGACAGCAAAAATGTTGCGGAACGCAAGGAGATGGAGTTTGAGCCGTGCTTCGGCAGCATTTTGCACTGCAGCACGCCAGGCATTTCCAATCGGCCGAGGGGTATCAGTATTGAAGTCGCCGAAAATCTTGCGCAGCCAGTCCGAGCAGGCATCCTGCTGTCCTGCATGAGGATCAGAGTCTCAGCAGCGGAAGATCGCGTTGCATGTGGCAGGAAGGCAAACTGCACCACCCAGCAAATCCATTACAGGAGGAGGTAAGCTGTGGACAGCAAGGTCCTCGAAGTTTCCGAAGTTCACCTCTAATGAGCATCAGCCGCAGGCCCAGAGCGTTCCTCAGTACCAAGTAGTGCCGGGCTTGCTTGCCAACGGCAGGCGGAGTGCAAGGAGCGCGGAGCAGCAACACATGTGGCGATTGACGGTCCTAGAGCTTGTCAAGGTTCATACCAGAGCCATCACCGTTGTCGGACCAGAACCTCTGCGAAAGCAAAACGCCACTCTCTCAGCAAAGCCAAGTGCAGCCAGGATGCCTCTCTCGATTTACAGCAGAGCTGTGCTCCAAGAGGAAGGAATTTCCTGGATCATTCATCAGCGCGCGAGGCTGCTAATCAAGGACTGCTTACTTCCTAACTTCCCGCTTCTCAATCACGTTCAGTCACATTGCCTTTGGCAGCCTGAGCCACATCTACGAGTCTCCGCTGATGAGACTTGCCCAGCTGCGACGTACATAATCGGTAGAACCCCACTGCATGGCACCCACTGGCTGAGGACAGGAGAAGTCCTATCCCGCCAACAGGGCAATGTCCGTTCTACAATTAGACTCCTGCGATTTCAGGCAGTCACCGCATTTGCTATCGTAAGGTGTCTGGACCAAACATAGTCTCTGGAATACTCCAGCGAACAGGAAGCAGGCATTGAATGGCATCGATGTGCAACCCTGAAAGCAGGGCGAGACGAGAAGGGTGAAGAGCTGTGCTGTAAGTGTTTGGCAAATGCCTCTTTCACTCATATCTTGATGAATCTGAGGACAAACTCTGAATGAAACTGGTTCATGTGTACCGAAATCTTCGCTTGTGGCCGCATGTTTGCGCCACAGGCTTCTTTATCAAACGTGGAAACGCCTGGCCGTGAGTTCCGGGACTCATGGACAGACTGCCAAGCAGATTCGGTCCTGTATCGCACAGTGCATTCGCCAGCTTGTCATTCGATCTGAATTTCGCCTTCAGCACTACCTCCATCGCCTGCCAGTTGCCTCAGCCAGTCGGTATCAGGTGTGGGAGGTGCGGCTTGCTAGCGAGCGGAAAGCAAGGACCAACATTCGTCACGCCATCAAAGTGCGCGTCTGAAGCTAACAGACGCTATGCAGGCCATGAGCTGCAGCTACAAAAAGCTAGAAAACCCAAATCACTGAGAAAGAACAAGTGCCCTCCAACACAAGTCTGCAATCGTCGTTTCCTCCACTCCTGCTGTTTGCAACGCTATTTGATGCAATGCGTGTCTTTCGAGGTGCTCCCGTGTCCGCTGAAGGTCTTGTCTGGGGCGTGGTCATCTTCCAATGCCTGACAATGAGCAGGCAAGGGCAAGGTTCCTTGCGAACCAAAGCTGAAATGACCAACATCACCGCTCGCTACATGGAGATGATCGATAATTTCGAAAGCATCTCTTCACGAGCCACATACCGACTGAACGTGCAATGTCCACCATCTTGCAGACTTTCCAATTGGCACCGACTGCTGCTACGCGGCTCTCTTCAATGTGAATGCATCCAATCCATCCTGAAAGCATGCACAAAAATACCCTGTGGAATTACTGCTCAGCCGTCAGTGGCCCCAGCGGACATTCAATGGCACATTGCGGCATGCCACTGCAGCATCCGCCAAAAGTTAGCATCCGTTCGGCATGCAAACTGTTGTAATATAGCTCTCACCACAAATCAAGACTGACACGCTGTCACCCGTCAACTTGTCAAGGCCAGGAGTCCATTTTCGAGAACGCCCGGGCGCACCAAGGAAACTTCAAGGCCTGGAAAGCAGCTTCGGCACTTCCTCAGCCGACACGGAAACTTTGCAACTGCCCACGGCGCAGATGGCACAGTGCCTCTCAATCCCTTTCTTTCTCTCTCTTGCTTGCCAGGCGTCTTTCTCTCACTCTCTGTCTTTCTCCCGCTCTCTCTCTCTCTCTCGCTTTTAAGGAGCGAGTCAGGGCCCCGGGCGCTAAGGCCCACCAGTTGTTACGGGCTTTAATTTGTAGAAGGGAGTGAAGGTGTAGGATGTTGAGTCACCTGAACGTTCACTGAGTAGAGCTCACTCACTCACTCTCACTCGCTCTCTCTCTCTCTCTCTCTTGCTTGCTTGCACTCAGCCAAAGAGGAGACGGCATCCCCTCTCGCGCGCGGGCGCGCACTGGTCTCTGCTTCTTGCTGTGAAAACTCTCCCCTGTTTGAACGAGGCGCTGGCTTGCTCCGGTATATCCCTCTCTCTGGCTCTCTCTCCCGGGCATAGGGGTCGGTCAAGACTACCGGGCTTCAAAGCCCACCCGCATGACTGTTGTGCGGGTCTCGGGGGGTGAAGAACGAGTGTAATCCCCCCTTTGCGCTAAAGCTAAATGGTCACGAGGAAGAGTGAGGCGGGATGTAAACTCTCAGGTAAAAGTTTTTTCCTCTCCTCCAGTGTTCCACGGCAGGGAGCGGCCACGGAGCACTGCTACCTGCATTTACAACTCTGCCCCTGACTCTACAAGTCGACTATGTCAGGAGTGTTTACAAACGGTACGGCAAGGAAAGACTTCCTGGTAAAATTTTCCCCGGCTTAACAGCCAGGAGTTTCACTAGATTCATGAATAATGAGGGACACAAAACGAAACACCGGATGAATTGGCATCCCCATAAGAAGGTGCATGTTTGAATTATCAACGAGTATGGCAGGCGGAGTGGAAAGTCATGGCCAAGAAGGTCTCAAAAAATAGGGCACAGGCGTTGCTAGTCGGCAACAACGCCAGGAGGAATCAACGATTGGCGATGTCATCTGCCTAAGCATCTGCCTACGCAGGGCCACAGTACACGTGAAGCTTACACTTCACTTCCGGCCATTTCGCCTTGGGACTTTCTCGCTCTCTCTCTCTCTCTCTCTCTCTCTCTCTCTCGCTCGCTCTGGTTCATGCAGTGCTAATCTGCCATGTCTGTAGCACGGAGCATGATCGCCGGTCGGAAGCACATATGCTGCTTGAACATGTAGGAAGCCTCCCATCATCTCCGCATCGAGCGTCTGAACGTGAGTCTCGTGTCATCGACGTTGATGCAAATGTCCGCGGGGTAAAAGTTGCCGAGGAAGCTGCAGCCACAAGCCTCTCATCTGGTCAGCGCAGCCCCGCGCATCCCGCAGGCATGAACTATCGACACTGGTGCAACCCGCCACGACAAATTGAGCTTAGCCCTGCCACCCTCTCGCACCACCCCTTCGATCATTTATGTGCTTTTTGTTTTGCAGTTAGTGCTTCTAGCTGTTGGTGTGCGGGGGTGCTTTTGTGTTGTTAACGCAGAGGTGTGCTGATTTTCGCTGTTTTCTTTCTGGTGGGTGAAGGCTTTTTGTTGCTGTTGCTGCAGGGGGTTGCTTCTTTTACTAAGCACCCCCCACACCAACAGCGACAAAAAAACCCTCGCACACCAACGGCAAAACATCAACGATCCCCCCCCACACCAACAGCAAGAAACACACGCTGTGGGTGCTGGGGCACGCTGTGGGTGCTGTTGTTTGCTGTGAGTGCGCTTTAGTTTTTTGCTGTTTGGGCCCGGATGGGCCGTTACAGTACCAAAAAAACACCCGTTCCGATCAGCCACCGTCCAAGAAAAACGACATCAACATAAACCATCGACGTCTTTGCCAATAGAACTTGAGCCGACGCAATTTGGAATCTCGGGCTGGTCCGTCCCCGGAATTTTCGAGTTTGGCCGAAAAGCTTTCGACACACAACGAACAGCCTGCCTCGTCCCACTCCGTCTCCTTCTGCGGATAGTAAAATGCACCTTTTCGTTGCTCCAACTGTCTGTGCTCAACTGGGGCTGTGAACGCATTCAATCATTGGTCTTTGCAGCTCCGGTACACACAGAATGGCGACCATGCGCGATCGGTGCCGGCCTGGGAGGAGGAG